CAGGTATGGTGAGACACACCTGCCATCCCAACTCTGGGGAAGTGGCTGCATGTTGATTCTGCAAGAATTCTTGGGGTGTTTTTGCTTTCTTAAATTTACTCTGTGTGTGTATGTGGGGTCTCTCCCTTCCCTCGTGGGTCGTTGGCCACCGGTCCATGAGGACAAAGGGAGCAGAAGTGACGAACGGGGTCAGGACGGCCAGTGAGCACTGACAGAAGAAAGCCCTTCTGGGGAGGCAGGTTCAGTGATACAAACAGCTCCAGACTCAATGAAACATCTCCGTTTATTCAGTGGGGGTTAGGGAAAATATAGTGTGGAGGCAGTAGCCAATGCTTCAGCTGATAGGTGCTCACAGTATGCTTTACTTACATGTGGCAGTAGGCTCCTATCATCCGACGAGCAATGCCTAATTATCATATAGAAAAAAACCTGGGGGCAGTTTTTACTCCAGGTAACTATGCCAAAGGTCATGTTCCAAATAAGGTCAGGCATCTGTGCTTGGCGGTGCTTTCCAGGTAAGTCAGACAGAGAGCAGGAGGCCCCCCGCTGAGAAGGGGAGTCCTTCCATATAGTGCTGAGCCCCTTAGAGCTATCCGGACATGGAGGAATACAACCCTAGCAGCAGGGTTCCCCAACATGTGTATGTGTGCAGGCACAGACACCGCACCAAAGTACAAATGTGGAAGCCAGGAAGCCAGAGAATAACTTGCAGGAGTCAGTTCTCTCCTCCCATCATGCAGTCCCAAAGATTGAGGTCAAGTTGTCTCTTTTGATGGCAAGCACCTTTACCTGCTAAGCCATCTGGCCAGCCCAGTTTTTCAATGTTTTGTTTGCTCTGTGTATTAAGACTTTTGTGGTGCTCAGGATTGTGGGGCCTTGTACATGCTTGGCAAACACTCTATCACCAAGCCACACCCCCAGCCCAGGAAGCCTTTCTTGAGAAATTTCTCACAGGACTCTGGTCACACTGGGCATTTTGGGAAAGACTGCCCTAAATGTCACAAAAAGTCTAGGCTCCTGCAGGAGTCACTACAAGAATGTCCTGTCCACAAAGCCCACCTCTCCGAATGTTTCAAAGGCTTGTCTCCACTGCCAGACCCTGCCTTCCTTTGCCCCAAGGCTTGCTCTGGCCACAGAAGCCCACTTGAGGAGAACTCAGGAGAACTCACACCACCCACAAGCAGCCTTCGACTACTGACTTCTGAAAGAGGGGTTATTGACACCCTCTGTGGAGTGTCCTCCACACCAGCTGCCAGAGGCCCTTCCTGGTAGCTGGCTGTCCTTACTAAGTACCCCCTTTCCTGCCTCCTCTACTAGTATATTCTAAGACTGCCTCACACATAAACCACATAACACTGGGGCTCTCCTTCCAAATCTACTTCTGAGAGAAGGGAAGTCAAGGGAGCCAATACCTACCTGTGACTGTTAGAAGCAAAAAGATGCCTTCCCCAGAAATTCTGGAAAATGTTCTCTCTTCTTTACTAAGTCTACCTTTTCTCCAACACAGAATCCAAGAAGAATCTGGTTCACAGCTTTCCTCTGTAGGGATTCCCCCACCAACCAGCCCAGTCCCACAAATGTCACTGAATTCACTTATCATCCCTCCTGGTTCAAGACTGGTGTAAACAACCAGTGACACCCCCTTTCAGGAGCCAAGAAACACAAATAGAAAAATTTAGTGACTTAAGGATGTCACTCAACACCTTCAACCACCAAAGCAAGAATCAGAGTCACACTCTGTACTCCCCATGCCTCCCAGCCTATGGCCAACCCATCACTGTGGTCCCTGCTATTCTAACCTGGATTGCCCCAACAGTCTCCTGTGCTCTCCCCACCCCTAGTCCATCTGCGTTCCATATCCAGCCTCCCCAACAACCAAGTCAGAGGTACTTAATAAAACACAAACTTGAGCATGTCATCTTGGGCTGCCCATAGTCTCCGGATAAAGCTTTCAGCCCCATCTCTGTGCCTTCTCCAGTCTCAATACACAGCATTTCTTTTAGTTCCTCAAGCACACCTCAGGACCTTACTATATGCTAAAGCCTGGAGCACTTCAATTCATCCAGGCAATTTATCCAACTGTCACAAATCAACCAGTGATTTGTAGCCTACTGTTCACTGTCTCCTACAGTGCCCATCCATTCCTTCCTAGTTCTTGATCTTAGTTATTCTGAAATCACCCAGATATGAAAACACTTCAAGAATAGTGATCAAGGGGCTGGAGAGATGGCTCAGTGGTAAGAGCACTGTCTGCTCCTGCAGAGGACCTGGGTTCGATTCCCAGGACCCACATGGCAGCTAACAACCATCTGTAACTCCAGTTCTAGGAGATCCAATGCCCCCTTCTGACCTCCACAGGTATTGCATGACATGGGTACACTTACATACATGCAGGAAACATACACACACACACACACAAATAGAAAGAAAGAAAGAAAGAAAGAAAGAAAGAAAGAGAAAGAAGAAAGAAAAGAATTTTTTAAAAAGTGATCAAACACTTGTGTCTCTCCTCCCCCATTTTTGGAAGAGGGGCAGTGCTGGGGATTGAACTCAGGCCTTCTAGAGTGCACTAGTACTCTATCCCTGATTTATACCTCCATTCCAAATTGCAGCTTGTTGAGACCTTTGTTGAACTCCTCTCCCTCTACCCAAAGTAACTCTGTCCTGAATTTAGTATTTCTCACTTGATTCCTACACCTACCTTGATATTATTACCTATGTGTCCCTAAATGATAGACACAAGGAAAGCATCCCTAATCCAAACATCTGAAGTCTGAGATGCCCCCAAACCTGAAACATTTTGAATGTTGACATAGTGTTCTGAGTAAAAAATCCACTCATGACCTCATGGAGCAGGTTGCAGTCAAAAAGCAGGTGGCACTAAAACTAATGCATAAAGGTGTCTTCAGGGTAAATGTATAAGGTACATATGAAATGTAAATGAATCTCATGTTTACATTTGGATCCTTTTCCCAGGATATCCAAATATGAAAAATAGAAATCCAAAATCTACTTGGAACTTGTGGTCCAAGCCCTTCAGATGAGGGATCCACAACCCGTTCCACATCTTTAATGACACATACAGCTTCCTTTGTTGTCTCAAGGCATGTTCTGTGGGTGGCACCTATCTTGCTGGTGGGCCTGACTCACTCGGCTGCTGTTGTCCCACCATGTGGCTGTATCCCAAGCATTCTCTAGTGATGGGTAGCTTCGTTGCCTTCTACTTGCAGTGGCTACTGCCTCTGCCCTGCGCTGCTTGTGCCTGTAATCTGCTAAATTGGCAAAGGTTCTACTCAGGAACCCACTAAGCAAAGAACCTGAAAATCTTTAGCTTTACTGATTGTTAGATCATTCAGCAAGGCAGTGTGTCAATATAGCTCGCTAGTAAACTGTTCTTGGTATCGCTGCCTAGTCCTATCTCCCACCCACCCACCCACCCACCCCTGAACCCCCGCCAACTGCCTACAACAGGATTTAAGACCATCAGTTTATGCCCAGGCTTCCCAGACCCTCCCTCTCCAGTCTGCTCCAGCTGAGTGTCTTAGCTTCAGTGGCCAGCAGTCAGCATTTTGCAAAGTAACCAGACTAAAGAGGCCAGCAAGCAGCAGTGATGACTCTGGAGGCCCAGCTCTGATCAGAGACACTTTTTTTTGACTGTGCATCATTGAACAAGTCACCTCACCTCTCTGAGCCTGTTTCCTTACCTTGCAAAATGGAGAGCCTGGACATAACTGCCAACAGGGAAGTCAGTGATTAATGAGAGCAGTGCCTACCCTGCAGTTCTTACTACTGTTGCAAGCCAGGGAGAACAACTGTCTCTGTGTACCTAAGAGAGCATCATTAGTTATAACACAGACACTCCATCAAGGTGGTTGCAGACACACTGTCATTCACTGGCCCACATGACCAGGAAGCTGTGGAGGTCTTCTTGCTCATCTGTGATTAGATTCAGGAAACTGGCCATGTCTTAGCCACCCTCTCCTTCCCCATGGCTTCATTCACAGGCAGGCCCTCCAAGAGAGGGCTTCAGAACCACATCCTCCTAGCTCAGTAACAGCTGGGATCAAACCTGAATCCCAGGCAGCTCCCACTGCCCAGTGGGCCATAGGCCCTGGCTGAACATGACACAGTGCGGGAAAGAACAGGCTCACCTTCCAGGGTAAAGGTCTGGATTGGCAGCCTCCAAAGCTACAGAGTGGAACTGGGAGAAGGGTGGACCCTGAAGGAAACCAAGGGAGGTCCCAGGATATGGGAGATGGAAGCAGGCCAGGCAAACAACCAGATTCAACAGACCACTGCCCACCCCCAAACCAACCAGGCTGGCACCACAGCAAGACCTGCAGCTGTGGACCCTCACAGCAGCATAGAAGTGCACTGGCCCCACATGAAATTTTCAATTGCCTCAGTCACTTTTTTCTTTTTGTCTATTTGAGACAGGGTCTCCCTCTAGCTACAGCTGGCCCAGAACTCGCTATATATATATATAACTGGCTTGGATCTCAGAGATCCACCTGACTCTGTCCCCCCAACCCCCATGCTGAGATTGTACCACCACAGCCAGCTCTCAGTCATATTTTTAGGGGTGAGATGGGTTCTCACTATGTGAACCAGGCTGGCCCTAAACTCCTGGGAGCCAGCAAGCCTCCTACTTTCCTCTGGAATAGCTTGGATTACATATGTGCACCCCCTGCCTGACTTGTTCAGATAATTGTGAAGAAGTTTCACTGAGAACCACCAAAAGGAAAGGGCTAAGAGAGCCTACTGTGGTTATCAGAGAGGGCCAGCCCCTCGTTCTATGGACAGAGAAGAGGGTCGTCAAGGAAGATCTTGCTGCTGGTGTGCACTTCCCACCCAGAGGTGCCCCACACCATGCTCTAGCACCATCAAAATCCCACCACTCAGGAAGCAGAAGCAGGAGGAGCTAGCCTAGTCTACATAGCAAGACCCTGTCAAAAGAAACCAAAAAAAAAAACAAAAACAAACAGGAAAACTGTGGGCCACAGTGGCCTTTATTCCGTGACATGGTATAGCTGGGACTACAGAGGTTCATTCTCAGGCTTTGTCTGAAGGTGCAGAGTATTGGGGGACACAGACTGGACCCCAAAGTGACAATAAGTTAGGGGATATTCTCAGGCTGTTGTCCAGGCAGGGCTCAAGTAGAACCCCCAGAGCCACTCCCAACTGCCTAGTTCAGGCCTCCCAGCAAGGCCAGCACCAGGACAGGTGGCTGAAGCTGAAACACAACAGGGGAGGGGAGACAGGGAGGATGGGGGTCAGGAGGTCATGGACCAGTGGGGAATCCAGAGTACAAAGGATGTGCCTAGGTCCAGAGTACAAAGGGCGGCCAGGAAGGGGTCCTCCAGGGAGGGCCCAATCTGGCAGGCTCCAGTCAGTCTGGGGACAGAGGCTGCTCACCAGAATCTCAGTTAACCTCCTGCAGGTTCTCATAATCTGGGGTTTCCTCTTCCTCCTCTCCCTCCTCTTCTTCATTCTCTACTTCCTGGGAATCCAAGGTGACTAGGAGGGGAAGGAAGAGGAAGGGACGTTTGGTGTTAAGCCTGTAGGCTACCTGCCCAAGGCAGCTCCCCAGCTCCTGCCCCTTCCACCTCAGTACACACCCAGCTCAGCCCTGGTCTCCTGCTGTAGTTCCTGGGACACATTCACATACTCCCGGCTCCCATCTGTGGAAAGAGGTCAGCAGGAGGGACGGCCATGGGAAGGCCACATGGAAGGTAGGAATGGGCTATGGGCAGGGTCACTTACCCAGAGATGCTTCTGCGCTCTCCTCACTCTCAGGGACATTCACATAATCTTCCACTGACTCCACTGTGGGAAAGCCATTGCAGCGCTGTCACCAGAAGACCCTCTGCCAGTCACCAATCCCAAAGCATGCCCCCCCCCACCAACTCAGATCTCCAAGTTCCTGAATACTGACAGGTTGAGGCTCGAACCCAACCTGCCCCAAGCCAATGCCACAGGGATACAGAGGAAATAGGAAAAGCAAGGGTAGTTGCCTGGACAAGGGCAAGGGCCATGGAGGCAGAAAGGGATCCACTGGACCAATGGTAGTGGGGAAACGAAGTGACGGAATAGGACTCCAGCACAGTCCCCAGGCTGAGAAGCAGGGATCAGAGAAGTTTCCTAAACTCTCTGTGACTGAAGCTTCTCATCTATAAAAAGGGTTCAAAACAGGACCTGTCACACAGGATTATTATGGGGATTAAAACAGTAAATTGCAAATAGTCTGTCATACACTAAGTGTTATTAAATATCTATTAATAAACCTAGAGCTGGGCATGGTGGCACATGCTTATGGCTCCAGCCACTCAGAAGGCAAAGGCAGGAAGTAACTTGAGCTCAGTAAGGGTAAAGATCAGCCTGGGCATCACAGCAGCAAAACTACATCAGCCAATCAATACAAATGAATAAATAAACCCCACCATAATACAGAGACAGAACTGAGCACAGGAGGGAAAGTAGCACAGGGCACCCAGGAACTGTGAGGTTTTATTTTATACAGCATGAGATCCTAATAGGCCATGAAATAGGTCCTCAAATAGTAGCTCTTTCAACATCTTTGGGAGGAGGGGTGTATGTGTGTATGCAAGTGTACATACCCATGAACAAGTGTAGAGGCCAGAGGAGTTACCATTACAAGTCTGCCAAACTGACTAAGTCCCTATAACATAACCCAGCAGACATACCTAGTATGAATGAATGAATGAATGAATGAGTGCATGAATGATATGACCCTATAACATAACCCAGCAGACATACCTAGTATGAATGAATGAATGAATGAGTGCATGAATGATATGAATGAATGAATGAAAAGACACACTTAAACAGTCTGGACCTCAGAAAGAAGTGGCCAATTATCTGGATTACAAATGGAGCCAGGGTGAGAGTACAATAGCCCTAGGTGAATATAGGCAGATTAAGTCTTCCTAAACTAAACCTGAGTGCTGGTGTGCCACCACAGGTGAAAAACTCCGTACCATGCAAAGAATAAAAACATCGCATAAAGCTACCTTTAAAGCAGGGTGTGGTGGCGCACACCTTTAATCCCAGCACTCAGGAGGCAGAGGCCAGAAGATTTCAGTGAGTTCAAGGTCAGTCTAATATGCAAAGTGAGAGCGAATTGCAGACCAGCCAGGGGTACCTAGCTAGACCATGCCTCGAAAACCAAACGAACAAAATAACCAAAGCAGAGAAGAGAGCAGCCAAAAAGAAACTCGGAGCACAGTCAGTGGAAGACAGTGGGGGAAGAGAGGAGAGGGAAGGAGAGACAGCCTTTACTTAAAGTCCTTAGACATTTATTAGATGATCTTGCTTCCAAGAAACAAGAACAGGATGCTACGTAAAAAGAACACCGAGAAACCGAGAAAGAGCTTTTGGGCAAGAGAAATGAAATTTAGCTGTTCTCTTTGGTGGTGGTGGTGGTGGTGGTGGTGGTATTGTTTTGGTGTTTAAAGACAGGGTCTCATCATGTAGCCCAGGCTGACCTCAAACTCATAATCCTCCTGCCATAGCCTTCTAATGCTAGGATCGTAGGTGTGTGCCAACATATCCATCTGAGAAATGAAATTTTAGCAGAACAAGAAAATCTCTCAAATAGATAAAATGATAAAACAAAGAGGTAGGAAAGGCAAGAAAATCTGAAGTTAAGAACAGGGAGCCCAGTATCTGAATGAGGAAACCGAAGGGCACCGATCATCAAGGAAATGAGAGGGAAGAGAGCAGGAGCCCACAGCACATGAGGAAGGAGACAGACAGAACCCTGACTCACTGGAAAAGGCGCTGTCTCGAAGGCCAGGGTTGCTGGGTACAGGGGCAGAGGGAACAACAGGGCTGGTGGCTGGGGTGCTGTCAGGAAGAACCTCTCTGGAAGAAAGGAAAGAGGAGGGTGAGCAAGAGTGCCTGACCTTCACCCCTGCCTCCCACCCAGCCACTCACAGGTAGCCCTCATTGGGATAGTCTTCCTCGTCTTCATCTTCATCCACATTCTCACAGGCTGGCTCTACGAGTGATGATACGGGGTCAACATGACCCAGGACAGGCCCCAGGCTCCCCACCCAGCCCAGTACCCCAGACTCTACACCCACCCTGGTTCTCGTAGCTCGCCACACTGTTGGCTTCAAAGAGAGAAGAGAGAGGGAGACTGAGTCAGCTAAGGCTAGGCCTGTCTTCTGCCCCGCCAGCACCCCCCCACACCCTCTGCACCCTTACCATCATCTGAATCCTGCCGGGAAGATGGCATCCGGTGGGTACCCCCGGGGGGCTGTGGGGATCTCCTGAGAGTCAAAATTCAGGGATCATGTCTGGGTAGGGCTCTGGGGCAAAAAAGGTTACAACAGGGAAAGCGTCCCCCATCCTATAAGGTGAAGAGGCATCAGAGGAACTGGGAGTTCCTGGTACTCACGGGATGGGAAGCAAGTCTGGCTGCCTCAAGGGTGGGAAGGAAATAACAGGAGGATAGGAAGTGGCAGGTGTTCGGGGGACAGTTATTTCTGAGGACACAGAATCAAGCTTGAGGGAGCAAGTCTAGATACCATCACCCCGCCCTGCTCATGGCCTCAAAGAGCAGATATATCCCTAGAAACCCATGCTCTGGACAAACTGGGGGCTCCCGCCTCCCATCCCACCCCAGATAAAGGCCTCATGGGCAGCCTAGAGTGGAGGGACTGGAAAATGGCACAAACACACACACCCTCCCGCACCCTGGAGGTAGGCCTGGGACACTACTCACGAGGTGGTTTAATGAGAATGCTCCTTGGAGACAAACTGGCAAGAAAGAGGCAGCTTGGGTACAGGGCCAAGAGAGGTCCCAACCCCAGGCCCTCCATGGGAACAAGAAACACAAGGGGGACAGGATTGCAGACTTACCTCTCTGTGGAAACACTGTCATAGGAGGCTGAAAAGAGAAAGGGCCAGTGAGGCAGGATCAGGGTGGACAGGGGACAGGGGCCCTCAGAGTCCCTAGGAACAGGACTGAGGTAGGGACAGTTAGAGGAAATGAGGGGCTAGGGAAGGAGGATCCGGTGGGGTGCCCAGCATCCATACCCCATAGCTCCCTACTTACCTGGCAGCTCACGGCAACGCACACACAGCGCCACCAGCAGCGTGGCCAAGAGGGGCAGCAGGAGGAGGCCCAGCGTCAGGGGGCTTAGAGTGTCTGCCTCCATCTGCAGAATGCCTGCCCCAGGCCCAGGTGCACTGCAGCCCCTTTAGGCAGAGCAGCAGCCAGGGAGTGGGGCTGCGTGGGCCCCAGCCTGGGGCCTGGTAGGAGGCAGCTGTGTCCTCCTTTGGGGCTCACGGACCCCACTCCCTTGCTGGGCTGAGCTGAGATCACTGCTGGCTTTGGAAAATGCTAGTCCCAGGGCCTGGGGCACCAGTCACCCACTGCATGGCCTGACCCCAGCTACCCCCTGCCTGATCCCTGTGCCCAGGCGTACCTGCCTCTGGCTTGCTCCCACCCGCCTCTCCTTCTCACCGCCCGCGTGCGACAGGAAGCTGTGGTGAGGGCCGGGTGAGGGCAGGAAATCATCAGGCTCCGCAGCCGACTGTGCCTGCCCCCTGCCCACCCACCCCCACCCAGTTGTGGGAAGGGGGAGGAGGCTGAGGGGCTATGTGCAGGAAGGGCTTATGGCTGCTGGATGAGCAACCCCTCCAGGAAGGGACAGGCACCTGCCAGCCCAGTCAGCTGTGGCCTGACTGGCCAGCTGTGGCCTCCCCATCCCTGGAGCTGGGGAAACTACAGGGACATTCTAACCGGGATCTTGTGGAGCAGAGCAGCACCACCCCCACCTCTCAGGCTTGCCTACTGGGAGGGCGACTTCCAGGGGAGCACAGTGAGTCACAGTCACATCTGAGCCAGCTCACTCAGAGAGCAGTCCTCCCTCTGGGTCACCCAACCCAGAAGCTAGGGACTTACCCACAGGGTGACCCAAAAGCCACTGGGAAGCCCTAAGGCTAGACACATTCCCTTCAGCCCGTGGATTACTGGCACCCAGAGAAAGACAAGCAATCACTTGAGGTCTGCTTAAAAATTTTATTCCATTACAAATAGCACCAAACCCCGAGGGCCCCCCTTTCCTGGACCTTTATCTCTTCCCTGGGCTGCCCATGTAGTGTCTGGAAGCTCGGACAAAGCTGAGGGCTTCCTCCTGGAACCTGGGCCAGATAGGGTTTCTCCTGGGCACCTCATGGGGTGGGCCCAGGGCCAGCTGTGGCGCATGTGTGGATAGGTAAGAAACAGCTCCTCAGATAAGCACACTGGACACAGGGACACGGGTGGAGCGGCCTCGCTGGGGTACCACGATCCGGTCATCTGTAGGCCCCACCTCATTCAAAAGACCTGCAGGAGGGGGTCAGAGCCAAGGCTAGTCATATACGACCAGAAAGATGACAAACTAGCAATGGACATGGGTAGGGCAGCTCCAAGAACCACCAGAACTGTGCACTCAGGTGGAAAGACTGATCAGCTTGCTTGACAGACTCAAGGCCAAGTGGAGGGAAGAGCTGTGGACTGAGATGTGGAGTGCCCATGCCTAGGCCAAGAGACAGACAGACAGACAGACAGGTAGTACCATGAAGAGGAGCAGACAGGTGCCCTCACTGACCCTGCACATGGAGCTGGGCTCTTCGGCGGTCACCCTCAATGAACATGGCGGTGCCCAGGAAGGCAGCACCTCCCAGCGCCCCAACGAAAGCACAGAGCATGAGTGAGAACTGCAGGGCCCGGAACTCAGACAAGAAGGAAGGGGGCCAGCTCCGGCGGAGGCGATCAGAGATCTGCAGGGAGGACAGAGTAGAGATCCAAGGAGGAGCCAGGGATGGGAGGCCCTTAACACCAAGAAAAAAGAAAATTAGAGCCTGGGAGCCTGGGAAGGGGAAAGTTTGGCCCTCATGGGTAAAACCTTCAGACAACATCCTTCCTGCCCAACAGGCCAAAGGTGGGAAGTGGTAGGCACAGGCAGCCACTGCCTAACTAGTCCAGGCTGTCCCATCCACCCAGGCTCAGGCCATCAGCCACCTGCCAGGCTAGGGAGTACCAGGTCCCCCATCCCATCCCAGCCAAGGACAGTACTTACCAGACCAATGAGGTAGGGGCTCCCCGCGTCACCTAGCAAGTGGGACAGCACGATCTGGAAGGCCTCAGCAGTGGAGCGTCGGGTGGGGATCACCACATACTGGGGGGTGGGGGGGGGAAGCTCAGTAGGGGTTCCAGGGGGACCAGAGTCAAAGCCCAATGTAGGCCCAAGACAAATGTATGACTAGGGTGAAGGCCAGGCAGACCTAAGGCAAGCCAGGCCAAAAGGCCCTCTGTGGCTGAATTCTGAAGTACTCATAGGGCTGGATTTTGAAGAAGGGTAAAGACCAGAGTTCAGATCAAGTGTCACCTCCTAACCCCAATCCCTGCTCTCAGCCTGTGGATTGACCTGTATCTTCCCAGTTACTCACCAGCAGAATGTCAGCCACAATGGCCCAGTTCATGGACAGCAGGGTCTCTCCAATAAAGATGAAAATCTGGGTAGTAGATGGGGTAGGGCACATGAACCAGGCTCATCCATTAACTTACTTAACACACCCCACCAAGGCAGCTGCTTCCATCTGTCTTGTCTCACATACAAAACAGCACAAGACCAGGCTGCTTTGTCACCATCACCCAGCTGGGAGGGCCAGACCTGAGGTTCAAAATGAGGCATTCCTCCTCCAGTCTACTCCAAACTACTAAGCTGGCTGATCCCAGTCCTGCTCTGGTCATGATTACCCCATACATACCCAGACACCTTCCAGACCCCTAGTAGATACTCACATAGGTGGCCACGATGCTACCCCGGGCACAAGCCAGGGAGAGGAAGAGGAAAGGCGCAGAGCCCAGGAGGCCAGCAGCACAGACCAGTGGGTCAGCCCGAGGATTGAAGCGGCGAAGACGGCGGCTGATCTCCACGCCCAGGCCCACACCCAGGACCCCAGTCAGGCAGGTGATGAGCCCAAAGATGAGACTAGGGGTAGGGTGGGGAAAAGAGAGACTAGTCCCTCTCCTACAAGGCCCTTTGTCCCAGAGAAGAAGACAGTCCACCCCAACTGCCCTCATACCCAAATCTGTCCAGCACAGAACCCCAGGGCCCATGTGTTACCCAATCATACAGTTCTCAGAACCAGACACAGACTCTGAGAGCAGACGCAGCTGGTGACACGTAGTCACCCAGCCCAGCCCCAGAGGGGTACCTGTCAGAAGAAGAGCAAGAGTCTCCAGGAAGACAGGGCGGGGTCTCTCCCAGGACCACACGGGAACGCAGCAGGAAAGCCGGGGCCCAGAGAGCCAGAGAGCCGGTGACAAAGGCCACAGCAGTGAAGCCAAGGGAAGACAGGATGAAACTAGGACTATGGACATTGGAGGGAAGAAGTCAGACCCCACAGACGTGACCTGGTAAGAAGACACACCTCCTCCCTCCCTGGCTTATTTTATAGTCAGAAGTTGGATGTGATCTGGGCCTGCAACTCAGGCAAATGCCACAAGTTGCTAACAGTGCCTGGGTTCCTATATGGCCTGACAGAACAGAAAACTTGACCCACACCCATTTAAGACTCTAGTCCCAGGGCTGGAGGGAGAGATGGGTCAGCCATTAAAGGCTCAGGCTCACAACCTAAACATAAAGGCTCCAGCCCCATGTCAAGGCCTCAGATGCAGAAAAAGAAAAGATTAAACTCACTTTCGTGCCAGTGCCCTCAGATCTGCCCACCATGAAGTGGGGCTTAGGGGCGGTGAACCTGAGTGGCGCTCCACAGCTCCTCTGGGGGGTTCTCGTACAACTACGAACAGCAGCAGAACTGCCACTACCCCTAGACCTGGTGTCACCTGGGGAAAGAGCAAGCTTCAGAAAAAGGACACATGGAACCTCTGGGGTTAAGGAGACTGAGGGGTATGGACAACTCAGTCCCCAAGATCATACACACCATTTAAGCCTGAAATGTGGTAAGTTGGCTGCCACAGGGACCACCCCATTTCTGTAAGCCTAACTTTGCCTACTCCTTGGTAACAGCACTCTGATTTTTTTTTCAGGGACCCCCCCCCCCCCCACACGCACGCGCGCGCACACACACACACACACACACACACACACACACACACACAGAGTAATTTCTCTCATTCCACATGGTTCAAACTGGATCTAAGACCTAACCAATGGAATTGTCAATCTCTTACCCTCAGTGACTGATTTCATAGTACACATGTGAATCCAATCAGACACCATCCTTGACTTCTGTCAAGGATCTAAGGTACCCAAGTTGTTCAACTAAAAGATGATCACTTGGGATGCCAAGCACTTAAGAATGAAGTTAATGGAGAGGAAAGGAAACTTGAGCTAAGAGTGATCCTGGCCCAGTGGGGGTTCAAGATCCAGCTTCACCTGAACTCTCCATTAGGAAAGCCAATACTGTCCCTTTCTGGGCTCTCAGTTTAACCGTGGACTTCTGTCACCTGCAAGCAAGATTTTTCTAGTACATGGATCCTTAGTGAGGCCAGCCAAGCTTGCTGTAGGTTCAACAGAGTGAACACTGCCACAAACAGGGCATTTGCTGCCAAGGTTGATGACCTGAGTTTGATCCCTGGTGAAAAGAAAAATCCAATTCCTTCAGGTTGTTCTCTGAGTGGGCGTGCACATGCACACACACACACACACACACACACACACACACACGAATGCGTGTACACTATAAAATTTTTTTATTTTTATTTTTTATTCTTGGTGTTTTGAGACAGGGTCTCCCTGTAGCCCCAGCTGGCCTAGAACTCCATATGTAGACCAAGCTGGCCTTGATCTCAGAGAGATCTGCTTGCCTCTGCTTCCTGAGTGCTGGGATTGAAAGCATGCACAACCACACCCAGCCAAATATAATTTTAAGAGGTTTTTTTGGGTCTTTTTGAGAAAGGGTCTCCATGTAGCCCCAGCTGTCCTGGAACTCACTATGTAGACCAGGCTGGCCTTGAACTCACAGAGATCCGCCTGCCTCTGCCTCCTCCTCTAGGATTAAAGGCGTGCGCCACCACGCCCAGCTACAAAATGTGTTTTAAGAAAAGGAATATCTGAAGGTCAGAAAGGTGGATCTGGAAAATGTTGCTGAGTCCCCAGACGATGACCAGGCTTACCCTCAAGGCCCAGTGCCAGTCTCCAGCCACATCCTTCACTTTGGAGCCTGCAATGTAACCTAGACCACTGGGGGAAGGCAAGAGGAAGCAGGGATGTCTGGTCAGTCAAATGCCCCACCCAGCCCTTGTGCCCCACACCAGGCTCAAGGCCAACTCACCTGCCCACAGGAATGGCAAAGTAGAAGACACTGAGCATCTGACTCCGCTGGTCTGCCACGAAGAGGTCGGCGATCAGGGTGGGCGCAATGGTGGAATAACTGGCCTCCCCGACCCCCACCAGGCCCCGAGTCAGAAGGAGCAGCCAGAAACGCTGGGAAAGGAGACATGGGGGAGGTGGCATCCCACCCTGGAGCTGGCCTCCAGGAGCACTAGCTCCAGGTGGCATCCCACCCTGGAGCTAGTGCTGGAGAGACAACAGGAACAGCCAAAGAGGTCTGGGCTTAGAATCACACAGACCTGGCTGGAATCCTGGCTCCACTTACTAGCTGTGACTTTGAGAAAATAACTTAACCTCTCTGAGCCTCAGCTTCCTCATCTACAAAAGGGGGAACAACAACAGTTTGTTCACAAAGCTACTCTGAGGACTGTATGATACTTGTAGGTAGGCACAAAATAAATCTTCATTTCTACTTTTCCCCTCCCACCTAAGACATCCCAGTGGTGAATAACGATTAGGTGGGGAGTTATTTGCTTACCAAAGACACCGGAAGCTAAGGACAGGGTGTATGATCACCTGAGGGTACTATGGCCTGGAGCTAAGGACAGAGATTGGGGCAGAGTAATAACAGATGGGAAGTATTTCAAAGGAGCAAAGAAGTCATCAGCCAGGGAAGCTAGCAGCATGCATCCCATGTTTTGGGGGTTTTAGGAAGGAAGATGTGGGCCAATGCGCCTGAGGCTCCCAGGAGATCTAGCAAGAACAACACTAGAAAGAGAGCCACAATGAGTAACCAGGAGAACTGCCGACTTTGGCAACAGAAGATCTAATAAAGTGGCAGGGGCAGCACTCAAGGGTGAGTGAACTTAGGAAGTGCAAGCCAAGTGACAGCTGCCCCGCCCCGCCCTGCTGTTCTTTCACCCACACTGGTTCATTCATGGTTTAAGAGGGAAATTTCAGTAAGTCCCACCAGGGAGGGGAAAGGATGAGGACTGTCTGCACGGAGGTTTTCAATGGTAGAAGAAAACAAGAATACTGAGGGGTAGAGTGGAAGAGTTAGGGGAAGAGGGAAATGATGGATGAAAGAAGGTTCTAGAAGAAAAAGGAAGAGGATGGTGTGGGCAGATTAACTCAGGCAAGAAAAGGGCATAAGATGGCAAGACCAAGGAAGCTATAGAAGTTCCCCAAGCTCAATCCAAAATGACTCCAAGGAGCAGCAGCAAATATTGATGGGGAAGGGATGGGGAGAGAACTCAGGGCCTCACCTCTCTGGGGATGAAGGATGACCCCAGTGTCACCAGGGACCAGAAGGCAATGCCCCCGCACATGAGATACTTCCGATTGTACCTGTCACCCAGGTAGCCAAACACAGGTGCCAACACCATGTAACTGGAGATGAACACTGGGGGGAAGCAGAGAGTCACAGCCCAATCCAGGTCCCCTGGCCCCTGTCCCCCACCAACCACTCCTGCTCCAGCTGGGGAGAAGGGTGCAGAAATGCCTAAAGCCAAGATCCCCACCCTCCTCTTCACTTGATGTCACCATCCACATCCCAACCCTGTAGTCCATCAGAGCTCCCTGCTAGAGGGATGACACAGCTCCATCTTCACAAGCTTCCCAAAATTTCCAGCTGATATACTCCCCCTTCCACCCAACCTAAAACAAAACCCACATTCCACACCATGCCCACCATGCCCTATCTGATCCAGCCTCTTCCTCTTTCCATCTCCATGGCCCAGCTGCCAAGGTCAATACCATAGGGATTCAGGACCCAATGTCTCCACTATCTGGAACATTTTCATCTTTCTCCTGAGCTCCACAAAGCTCAACTGCTTCAAATTCCAACTCAGAGACCTACCCAGATTATCTCACATCCCACCCCATCAGTGCATGTACTGTTTTCTTCTATTAACACTTATCTATGCAGAAAATTAGCCCATTCTAATTAACCCCTCGGGCACAGAATATCAGCTCCTGTTACTGCCATGACATGTTCTCTCACCACACAGCCCAGCACAAGGCAGGTGCTCAATTAACAGGTTGAATGAAAAGGGGGATAAAGGAGGCCCTCTGGCACCATCTGCTTCTCTAATTCAACACTACCTTGACCTATGATCCCATTTTCATTTCTCCCGGTTTAAATACCTCCAGATCCTCCCTGGCCTGGTATCAAATTGCTCTTCTGTTTCTACCTGCTCATGTGACCCTGGCACAGTTCTAACTCTTCTCCAAGCTCCAGTTTGCTTATAAAAATGCAGATAATTCTTTCCAGTACAAACAGGAATACCAACACCCATTCCTCAGCTGAGGGAAGGACTCAAGGCAACACTGTCCTGCCATAGTCCATAGTCCTACTTCTAGGGCCTGGCACATAGTAGGTGCTCAGAAACATTTGAAAAGTGAAAGGCAGAAGGAAGGCAAGGAAGACTTAGGCCCTGGTTTTGCCTCCCCAGCAACCTCATGGTCTCCTGCCATTATTTACCAGTGTCTACTATGTGCCAAACAGGATATTTCCTTAGTCCTCACATAAGTCCTAAGAAGTAGCCTATTTTATTACTAGCTTCATCTTACAGCCTAGAAAAATGAGGCATGGAAGGGGTAAGTGCCTTGCCTCCCATCACACAGTAAGTGGGAGAACTGAGATTTAATCTATCATTCATTGACTCCCTCTGCAAATGTGATGTCCTGGCTCGGCTGGACAGCCCTAACACCTCCTGGTTCTGGCCAATAAGCCCTCATTAGGCAGGCCTGCATGTAGGCCCCGGTGAGGCAGGAAAGGAAAAGCTGCTTTGTGGCCAGAAGCCTCCACTCACCAGTCTGGATGAGGCCAGAACTACTATCTCCGATGCTGAAGAACTGCTCGATGTCTGGCAAGACGCCTAGAAAGAAAAACCTTCAGGAAGAGCCGGGAGAGGCGGCCCGACCCTGGACACCTGCTCCCTTCCCTTTGTGTTCCTCCTTCCCGTCCCTACCTGCCACCGTGAAGCGGTCCATGTAGTTCAGGAGGTTGATGTAGCACAGCACCGCCACGATGAGGGTCGAACGGCTCTGAGATAAACCGGTGATGCGCTGCAGCCCCTCCCGGTCCCGTATCTCGGGCTCCCCGGATTTGGGGTTCCCCACGGGCCCTGGCAACCCCGGAGGGCCAGGCACTGGCCCGTCATCGGGGTCGTCCGCTTGGCTGAGGAAGGGCGCAGTGTCGGACCCCGCCATGGTCCCGAGGGACCTGCGAGGGCAAGAGGCTGGACCAGGCGAGCAGAGTGCGCCCCACCAGCGACTAGGAGCTGGCCCCGAAGCCGCTAGCACGGCTGGGAAGGGCCCTGGGCCCTATCATTCCCTCCAGTCTTGGCAGATGCGGAGGGAACGTGTGCAATGCAGGTGGTGCTGGGGACACAGGGTCGGAAAGGACCTAGTCCCGGGTCCTACGACGACGCACTGCCTGTCACTCAGCCCCGGCGAACCACGGCCGACGCCATGGTGCCTAAGAGGTGGTCATGTGACACCAGTTCTCGGGGAGGGGAGGCACGTGACTGATCACAGACTACGGAAGCCGGAGACCTTCTGTCCACTCCCGCGTCTTGTGACTGACTGCCGGCTGGTCAGCAAGATAACCAGGGCCGTGATTGGCCGGGCACTGGGCAAACCGAGGGTACCTCATCTGGAATTCCCGTTTAGCCGATTTCATGGAATCACACGCCATCCACAGGTTGGAGAAATAAATCTGGCAAATGCAAGTGCAGTTCCCGACCTCAGTTTGGTTCCCAGCACCCACATGCCAATTAACAGTCATCATTGCCCTCTTCTGGCCTCTGTTAACATTGCATGTATAGGTGTACTCACATAGTAGGTATGTAGGTAAGACACTCCTATACATAAAATTTACTCATCTATTTATTTGTGTATTTTGTCTTTTTGAGACAGGATCTCCCTGTAGCCCCAGCTGGCCTGGAACTCCTTATGTAAACCAGCCTGGCTTGGATGAGATCCACCTGCCTGGATCACCACTCTGGAGGGATCTCCAGAGTGCTAGGATTAAAGGCATGCACCACCAAGCCCGGTAGCAATTAAGTTTTTAAAAAGAGCAGGCCTAGAGCACCTTGGCGTTGTTCCCTTAGTGGACTCCCCGGTAACCTCCAAGTTACATATAATATACATTTTTTGGCTTGTTTTTCTTATTTAATATATATACATTCTGGATAAAAATTATTATAGTTCTATAAAAATGCTGTTTCATGATCCCTCTTCCAGAGCTGGGGATGTAACTCAGTGCTTCCCAAGCATGCCTGAGACCCTGGGATCAATTTCCCTCACAAACCAGATGTGGTAGTGCAGGCCTGTAATCTCAGCACTCAGGTAGGGGAGGCCAAAGGGTCAGAAGTTCAAGGTCATCCTTGATATACAGCATGTTCAAGGCCAGCTTTGGCTATATGAGACCCTGTCTCAAAAAATGAAAAATGATTAAGAATAAAGATCCCTTTCACCCAGCAGAGAAGGAAGAGGTAGAAAAAGCTAGTTTGAGACCAGCCCAGATTATATTAAGAGTTCCAGGCCAGACTGGTCTACATGCTCTCAAGAAAGGGAATGAGAGTGAGGAGGTGGAGAGGGTTTTAAATCTCAAAAATACTTGATGGCTCAGAGGGTAAAGACAGTTGCTACTAAGCCTGACTTCAATCCCTGGGACCCACCCAGTGGAAGACGAGAACACAAACTTGTGGATTTACACAAGCATGTTTCCACACATGCATACACTGGAGTGTGCACACACAAAATAAATAAATAAAAATCTAATTTTAAAAAATTTAGGGGCTAGAGAGACAGCTTGGTGGTTAAGAGCATTTACTGCTCTTACAGAAGACCCAGCACCGACAGGGCAGCTCACAACCATCTGTAATTCCAGTTCCAAAGAATCTGACGCCCTCTCTAGCCTCGACAGGTACTGCATGCAGGTGGTGCATATAATCTCATTCAGGCACACAGATACAACAATTTTTTAAAAAAAAATTTTTTTTTTTTTTATATAGGGCTGGAGAGATGGCTCAGCAGTTAAGAGCACTTGCTGCTCTTGCAGGGGACCAGAGTTTAAATCCCAGCACCCACATCAGGCAGCTCACAATTGCATGTAACTCCAGTTCCAGGGGATCTGATAGCCTCTTCTGAACTCTGCAGGCACCATCACAAAGGCACATACAAATAAATAAATAACCTTTTAAATTTTTTTCAAAAAATAAAAATTTAAAAACACTTAAATGAACCAGGCATGGTGGCATACACCTTTAATCCCTGCACTCAGGAGGCAGAGACAGGCAATCTCTGTGAGATGGAGGCCATCCTCCATAGCTCAGTTCATACATAATGCATTCCAGGCCAGCTGGGGCTACAGGGCGACAGTCTCAAAAAAGGGGGGGAAGGGGCTGGAGAGATGGCTCAGCAGTTAAAAGCACCCACATTGAGGTTAACTGCCTGTAACTCTAGTTCTAGGGGATCCAACACCCTCTTCTAACCTCTGTGGGCACTGCATGACATGGGTGCACTTACATACATGTAGGCAATAAATTCATACACATAAAATTTGAATAATAAAAATCAGAAACAAAAACTCAAAATACTGTATTATTCGATTTATATGAAAATCTTGTGTCTGAGTACATACCTGCAGTCCGTTACTCAGGGGTTTGAGGCTATACCCCAATAGTAAAGCACTTCCAGCAGGCTTAAGGCTCTGGATTCCATCCCTGGCACCACAAAACAAAGTATGAAGCCTGGGTTACATATCAAGACCCTGTCTCAAAAACAAGACCTCAGAAGTGGGGCTGGAGAGATGGCTCAGTAGTTAAGAGCACTGCCTGCTCTTGCAAAGGACCCAGGTTTGAGTTCCAGCACCCACACGGTGGCTAACACCCATCCCTAACTTCAGTTCCAGGATATCTGATGTCCTCCTCTGACCTCCAAAGGCACTGCATGACACAGGTACACTTACATACATGCAAGCAATACACTCATACACATTTAAAAAAAAAAGACTGAAGAGAGAAAAGTATCTTGAGAGAGTCCTGTTAGATAAGGATTAGGTGCAAGGGAGCGCCCCCCAACACACACACAAAGGGTTAGGTACAAAGAAATGGCAGGCCAAAGGAAGGAAAGAAAAAAGGCAAGTTCAATGAACATCTTGCTATTATTCCAAGTATAGTCAGCAGAGCATCCCCTGGGGGCTGCTACAGATTCAGTACCCCAGGCTCTACTCCACAGCTTCTAGTCCAGCATCCCAGGATCTCACTCAAGTGTGATAATCTCAAGAATTCTGAGTCTGAAGTCTGGCCCACTTGTGTTTACATCTGGCTCTGACACTGGAGATTGGAGGCTGCGTGGTCTGAGGCAGGTTCATCTGTTAAGCTTCTGTTAGCCTCTGTAAAATGGGAATGACACCTACTTCCTAGGGTTGCTCTCAGGAATGAGATTTGAAAAGTGCCACACTTGGCCTGTGGCGCTGGGTAAATTCTCACTTAAGTTCCAAAGGAATAGTCTTTGTTAAATGCAAGGGATGGCTCAGCAGTTACAAGCACCGACTGCTCTTGCAGAGGACCCGGGTGTGATTCCCAGCACTCACATGGCTGCTACGAGCCAACCTTAACTCCAGTTCCAGGGGAATCTGAAGCCCTCTTCTGACCTCTGCAGCACTGCACAACATGGGTGCACTCACATACATGCAGGCAATACACTCATACACATAAAAAAAATAAGTCTTCACAGAATATAGCTGAGGATTGAACCTAAACCTCATACATGCCAGGCACACACACTACCACCGAGCTATATTCCCAGCCTAATTTTATTTGCTTGTTTTGTTTTCAAGCCAGACTTTCACTATATGGCCCAGGCTGACCTTGAACTCGTTATAGTCCAGGCAGGCCTTGAATTTTCTAACATCCTGTCTCAGCCTCCTAAGAAACTGGGATTACAGGCCTGTGCTACCAGGCCCAGATGCCATGTAGGAGCATATTCTGTCAGTGATTAGTGATTCCATTCCTGCAAATATGCATCTGAGAAAAATTCAACCATTAGTCAGATGATCACTAAAATGTTGTTTGCAATGGCTACATCTTAAACTTAGAAGTGAATCTGGTTACAAGTGACATAAATTGTAAAATAACAGTGATTAAAACAAGGCAGCTCCTTTTCATGTGCTTAGAGGCCAAAATCCTGGCTTCCTGTCTCACTGTCCTCCCACACAGCTGCAACTCTGAAGGTCTCTGTCAGTAGAACTGTTCCATTTCCAACCAGCAGGAAGCAAGCAAAGGGCACACACAGCATCTACCGACACCAGACGGGGCACCCCTTCCACTTACCACCCAGGAGACTGAACTGACACTTGGTCACTTCTAATACCTAATACAATGTGAATGCTGTTACTAGTTATAATGTATTTTTCAGGAAATATTGACAAGGAAAAAAAATCTGTACGTTTCAATACAATTTCCCCCCATATGTATATAAACTAGACAAGGTCTTTATGTGAAGCCCAGCCTAAGCCTCAGCCTGGCAGACCTCCTGCCCCACCCTTCCAGGTGCTGAGATGACACACACTACCACACCCTAATCTAGGTATTAGATGTCCCAAATAACTTTGACCCATAGTTGGTCGAATCTACAGAGCAGCTTCATACTCAGACTCCAAGGGCTGACTGTTCTGTCTTCATTCTGAGTGTATCTATACTGTGGCTAAACATCATGGATTTTATTAACCAGGAACGAGGAAGATGGGTATCCAGGAATAATAACAGTCTCTGTCACAAGAACCTCAGCAGGAACTACAACGAAGGCAGAAATCAAGTATGCCTAAGTCACATGTGTTCCTTTTATTCAGTCAAGATTGAATGTATAACAAGAATGTGTCCAAATTCATTAATGAACATAAACAATATGAAAAAACTGGAAGGCTATACCGTATCACGGATTTTATTTAAATATTACTAAACAAAATCAAAGGAATGACATAGTCTCACAAAAAAATTTAAGGAGTTGGCATACTTCTGTGAAAATTACTTACCAGTAGATTAATGGCTTTTTAAAAGTAGACAGTGCTTAGAAAACTGGCTCATTATATGATTAAAAACTAATCTTGGTCTTCCATACAAAGGTACATTTCAGATGGTTTCTAAGTGATACACAATATTCAGCAGCCAGTATGTGGCCTGGCAACAAAGAATGAGAACCAGTGTTTGAGAGCTCAGAGCCGTCAATACCCACACCAGGGTGAACCAGTAGAGACTCCAGCCCCATGTGCTGAGTGCTCTCAAAATGAGAGACCTAACAGAATGAAAATATCTTTCTTTTCCTTTTTTTGACAGGGTATCCCTGTAGCCCCAGCTGGCCTGGAACTCACTATGCAGACCAGGCTGATGTCAGTCTCACAGAGCTCTCCACCTGCTCCTCTCTCCTGAGTGCTGAGATCAGTGGCATGTGCCACCATGCCCAGCCAAAAATGAGACTATCTTAACTAGCTTTAAGAAACCCAAAAGCAAGTACCCCCTTGTAGCCTTTACTACTCTTGGAAGTTCTTTCTCACTTTTCCTTAGAAAAAAAAAAGCAACAAACTTTGTAACAAAAGCCAACTATGTACATTAAAAATTAAAATTAAATTTAAAATGTCTTGTTCGGTGAAAAATCCCCCTAGATATAAAAGTGCTATTTTGAGAGTTATTTGCAATTACTTGGGAATACACAAGCAACTCCTTAAAATAAAGAAACACACACCAAAAAAACACGAAACCACATAAGAAAATGAGCATTTCACAGAAGGAAAAACCAGAAATGGGAATAGGTATATGAAAATACAAATAGGTACAGAAATATGGATAGGTATAAGAAAGAGTCCTCAAAATTAAGAGTGATCAGATAAATGAACATTAAAACATGTGGCACTTGTTTTAAAACACACACACACACACACACACTCAGCAGAATCAGAAAGACAACACCAAATGCTGGTAAGGATAAAGAAAAAGACACTCCACGAAAGTCAGAAGATCTAGAAAATCAGAAAATTAATCTATATAACCCACAATCCTATCCTGGTTAAGTATGCCAGAGAACTATCCAGACTGACACAGAAAAGCGTATTTGCTCTGGCCTAGTATATGGTACCAAGGAGTTAGAAGTAACCAGGTATCCCCCACTTAAGGCAACATGTGAGTAAAATTCATCTGATGCCTCTGTGGAGTAGCCCACAGCAGATCAGAGCAACAGGTCCAGGAGTCAGCAAGGCCAGATCTGCACTCTTACCGAGTAAAAACAGAATGTCTATTGCACAATGCCATGAATGTACAGTAAAGCACATGTATTCATAACATGTTGTATCTTATAAGGACATTCATGTTCAAAGATATATTAAATGGGGTGCTAACAGGAGGGGATAACATGAAGGGGGAAAAGCCATAAAACTAGAGAATCCTTGCTTGGGACTGTGTACCCAACATCCAAAATGCAGTAGTTGTGTGCAGTTGGTTGTAATTAAAATGTGCATACCAGAAAGTATGAATCAGAGTAGTTACCAAGAAGTGTGTGCCAAAGAGTCCTGGAAGGAGGGGATGCCCAGGACTAATGACACCACTATCGTGATCCTTCGGGTTAGCCCACTTCTGTTTATGCTTAAACTTCAGCATATGTGCCCTTGCTAGTTTATTTTCCTGACACCAAGGATTCCCCACCAGTGCATGTACCTCAAGCAATCTGCATTCCTAGACCCCACGTGAGAATTAAAAGCCACTGCTGATCCTCAATGTGGCATAAATCCCAGGCCTGGGCACCCATATGCAAGCCTTATTTAGTTCAACTCACCCTGAATGAGCAAAGTTTCACAAAGCAGACATTTGATGAAGCAAAGGGCAATAATGGAGGTGAAATGGTCGGGGTGCAGAGCCCTTCTGTGTGTCCCAGGGGCTCCAACACACAGCACAACATGTACGTGTAGCCACAGGCCACCCAGGGCAGCAGCAACCAGCATACAATTATCAGTTAGTTAACGGCTTGGGATTAGGGGCAACAAGAGACAGGGCCAAAGGTCACTCCTTGGTTTTGCCTCCAATTAATAAGTTCTTAGCATGTGCAAGATCCTGGGTTCAGTCCCAAGCACCAGAAAAAAATAAATAAACAAATTCTAATTTCTGCCTCTATTAGCCCTTATGGGGGGAAAAAATGTGAGATATTCTCCCCAAGTCTTAGCTGGGCATCCAAACAGGTAGGAGAGGCTTCAGCCCCAGACCTCAATGAGATCTCCAGATTCCATGCCCAAATCAACCGGCAGCTCCTTGCCCGAAAGCTTTGTCCCATCAAAGAAGAAGGAGAGCTTGTGTCCGGAGAATCCCAAGGCCTCCTCATAGTGCGACATGAGGATTCTAAGAGGAGAGTCCTGCAGAGACAAAGAAATGCAACACTGTGAAAGGATAGGGAGATCCTATAGGGATGGAGAGAACTGGTGGCAGTGAGCTAGGCAAACAGCTCAGTGGTAGAACATATGCTTTATAAGTACAAAGAGCTAAGTTCAATCTCCAGCACCAAAAAAAAGGTTAAATTTTAGCCAAACATGTAGTACATTGACTGAAATACCAGTACTTGCAGGGTGGAAGCAGGAAGATTATTAAGTCCAGGCTAGCCTGGACTATAAAATTAGTTTCAGGCCAGCCTAGGCTACACAGTGAAACTGTGTATTAATTAACTAAATAGAAAATTTTAAATAGAGGCTAGGCATGGTGGCTCATACCTTTAATCTGAAAACACAGGAGGCAGAGGCAGGCAGAGCTCTGAGTTTCAGGCCAGCCTGGTCTACATAGTGTATTCCAGGCCAACCAGGGCTACATAGTGAGATCTTGCCTCAAAAAACACAACAAAACAAAAATGTAAATAGGTACAGTATGAAATTAACAATATTAGATTTCAACAATATACTATATAATAAAAATTATGTGACTATACAAAAAATAAAAATAAGAGATAAAAAATATATTTTAAAAAATGAGACAGTAAGATGGTTCAGCAGGCAAAGGCACTTGCTGCCAGGTCCAACACAGTTGGTAGGAGAGAACCAACTCCCATAAGTTGTCCTCTGCCCACACAGGCACTATGGCACCAAAATGCCCATACACGCAAAATGAGTAAATGTAATTTAACAATTTTTTAAAACAAAGTTAGGGGTTAGGGATTTAGCTCAGTGGTAGAGCACTTGTCCAGCAAAAGCAAGGCCCTGGGTTCCATCCTCAGCTCCAGGAAGAAAAAAAAAAAAAAAAGAAACAGAAAGTTATATGAGTGTGGTCTCTGCCTCTCTCTCAAAATCTTATTTATAGATCTTAGCAACCTTAGCATTTCTTTTTCTATTCTTTCTTAAGAACTTTTATCCTTTCACTCAAAGAAAGGATTTTAGGGCACTCTGGACAACTCAAAAATTAAAAGGGTTGCCGGGTGTGGTGGCAAACGCCTTTGATCCCAGCACAGAAGGCAGAGGCAGGAGGATCCCTGTGAGTTCAAGGCCAGCCTGGTCTACATAGTGAGTTCCAGGCCAGCTGGGGCTACAGGGAGACTGTCTCAAAAAGACCAAAAAAATAGATTAAAATAAAATAATAAATAAATAAATAAATAAAAGAGCTAGAAATATGGCTGTGACGGAGGCCTAGTGTTTACAAAGCCCTGGGTTCCATCCACAGTATTGCCCAACACAAGGGACCCTTTCGCAGATTTTTTTCAGAATATACGAACTGCCAGCCCTCGCTACTCTTGTGTTTGGGGGCATTATTAAATAAAACAAGGCTACTGAAATCTAAGCACTATGGTATTGCAACAGAGCTGGTATTGCAACAGAGCTACTGAGCTCTATCAGGCTATTAATGTACACTGCAGATCCGCTGAACATATCTACTGATAGGATGGGTGATTCACATCTAGAAGGACAGAACTGTACACGATTTAAAACTTAGGAACTCTTTTGTCTAGTTTATTTTCTGGGTTTTTTTTTGTTTTGTTTTGTTTTTTTTAGATCGTGTTTCATATCGCCCAGGCTGGCCATGAACGGGATATGCAACCAAGAATACCCTTGACCTCCTATTCCTCCTGCTTCCACCTCATAAGTGCTGGGATTATAGATGTGCCCCACCATGTTCAGCTGAATTGCTTATTTCTGGGCTTTTCCATGTAATATTTTCAGTTCAGTGGGTAACTGAAACCTCAGATGGCAAACACTAGATGAAAAGAGACTACCAGTGAGCCAAGAATGGCAGCTCGTATCTATATCTCCTCACATGAAGGGCTGAGAAGGGAGGATCATTGCAAGTTCAAGACTGGCCTGGGATACTAGTGAGTTCCAGGCCAGCCTGTACTACAGAGAGAGATCCTGCCTCAGAGAGGGGTGGAGGGGAACACTAAAGCTGAGCCTGGTCCTGTATAACTGCAATTCCAGCATCCCGGAGATTTGAGGTAGGAGGCTTCTACAGAAAGTTGAAGGCAAGCCTGGGCTGCCAGGACTACATAGTGAAAAGAAAAAAAAAAAAAAAAAAAAAAAAAAAATGGAGCTAAAGAGATGGCTCAGAAGAGCACTTGCTGCTCTTCCAGAGGACCCAGGCTCGGTTCCCAGCACCCACACTGGGTAGCTCACAACAGTCTGTAACTCCAGCTCCAGGAGATTCAATGCCCTCTTCTGGCCCCCAAGGCACCTACACACACGGCATATATACACACAGACACACATGAATAAAAACAAATCTTAAAACCAAGAGTTAAAATTATAAAATAATAAAACTTTTTGTTTTATTGAGTTCTTTGTTTTGATTTGTTTTGCTTTTCCTTTTTCAGAGACAGGTCTTTAGACCTGGCTGGCTGGGAACTCATGGAGATCCACCTACCTCTGCCTCTAAAGTGCTGGGATTAAAGGTGTGCACCCCGACACCCAGCATAAATCTTTTTTAAAAAGAAAATTTTTAAGCCGGGTGAACTGGCATCCACCACCACCTTCTGACCTCCCTGGGCACTACACGACATGGGTGCATTTACATATATGCAGGCAATACATTCATACACATAAAATCTTTTAAAAAAAGATAAATATTTTATAGACTGTTACATGCTGCTACAACTACTGTAAAAACTAATACAGCATGCTACTTACCCCATCTCTCAAGATTTTTGTTTCCTTATTTCTTAACTAAAGATTCAGTGTTTTCCCAAATAAGATTATTATGAAATTAAGTAATATCCTAAATACAAAGCAGTTGTCCCCAGAACAGGGACTGGCACTCAGAAGTGGCTTTGGAGCTTTTAGTAGCACATGACTATAATCCCAGCATACAGGAAGTAGAGACAGACAGATCAGGAGTTCAAGATTGTCCTCAACTAAACATCAAGTTCGAGGCCAGCCGGAGCTACATGAGACCCTGTCTCAAAAGAACAAAAATTAAAAGAAAAAAAAAAGTAGTGTGGCTTTGGGCTGTACTTCTGGCTCAGGAGTGGAATAGCACATGGGAAGAAGGATGTGGAAGGGGAATGCACAGACTGCAGCAATTTCCCAACAGAAGCGGGAAGGAATAGAGCAAGTCTCTCCAATATCTAGACTGGGTGGGCTCCCAGGAACAGGGAGAAGTATGTCCAGTAAGTCACGATTAGGAGGAATCCATAGCCTCCGAACCACCGTGAGCTGGGCAGAGAGGGGAGAGGCACAGGTGGCATTTCTTCTACTTACTGGAGACAGTGAGATCTCCATCATCTGGTGTTTCTCCTTTCCCTGTACCCGGAGCCGGAGCTTCTGGGGTGTCTCTGTGGCCTCGGAAGAACTTGTTAGCACCACACAGTCTGTGGGAGGCAGGGTTGGGATTCCAGTGGGGTGTCAGAAACAGAAGCTGGGAATTCTTCATATCCTCCCTCCCTCCTCCATGGCAGAAGCCTCCTCATGGTCCCTCTTCCTTGCCTTCCACTCACCGATGATGTCAGCCACTCCAAGCTTTAGGGTCCTGGGGGTGGCAGTAGGAGACAGTTCTGTCTCTCCAAAGAGCAAAAGAATCCTGCTTGGAGACACCCCAAGGTGACTAGCCATGTGGTCCACCACATTCTGAAGAGGCTCTGACTAGGAAGGGGACAAGAAACAAAGAAGGCCTTCCAGCCTTGAAATTCCATACCCTACTCCCAGCCTACCCCAAACACAAGGTTCTGGCCTGGGCCACCTGCTGAATCCTCAGCTGTGAGAGTCACCAGATTTACCTGGCAAGTACAAAATGAAATGGTGTCATTCAGGGGTCGAGGCAAGTAGCACAAAGAAATGAAACAACTGGAGCTGAGGAGAATGTTCTGTCAGCAAAGTGCCTGCCATGTAAGCAGGAGGACCTGGTTGAGGTCCACAGCACCACCTAAAAAGCTCGGTGTGCCAGTCAGCACCTGTAATCCCAGTGCTGAGGAGCTGCATACAGGAGGGTCCCTGGAACTCACTGACCAGCAGGCCTACCTGAACAGATGAGTTCCAGGGTCAGTGGGAGACCATCTCAAAAAATAAGAAATAAGGTGACAGGCAATTGAGAAAGACATCCAATATTGTCCTCTGACTTCCACAAGCACAACCCATGTACACCCATGCACACCCACCCACACCCCACCCATACGTGAACACCACAAAACATTTACAAAAGGGGGGGGAGGCAGCAGCCAAGGATTAAGAAAAAAGGGGGGCCAGGACTAGAGCCACCTCATATACATTCCAGCCAACTGGTACATTTTTCTTTTTTTTTTAAGAAGCCGGAAATCTGGGCCTTTGAAATCACCGACTGCAGTTTGGAATAAACTCCTTTTTTTCAGTGTTAGAGATAGAACACAGGGCCTCACATATGCTATGCCAAGTTTTTGTCACTGAACCACAACTCTACTTCTCATAGGTTAAAAGACCCTACAGAGCAGGAAGCAGATGCAATGTTAGCAAGGCCACAGCTACCAGTGGGCAACCCTGGGCTTGGCTGCTCGACCCATGCATGGTTAGTGCTCATTAAGGGCCTATTTTTGTTATCACTCTTGGTGTCGAACATCCCTACACAAATCATCAGCCTTTGCCAAGAAGATGGGGAAGCTCAGGATGATTGTGTGGCATCTGTGTCCAAGGCAGTAAGAGCAAAACACAAGAGAGGTACAGGACCCTGGTAGAGAAGAGAGAAGAAACTCAGCCTAAAGAAAGACCTGAATAGAATGCTTCATAAAGACACCATGCATGTTTGTTTGTTTGGTTGGTTGTTTTTGCTTGCTTTTGTTTTCTGAAACAGAATATAGCTACACAGTTCATGCTGGTTTCAAACTCTAGATCCTCCAGCCTCCACCTTCTGATGCTGGGAAAACAGGCATGCACTACCACACCTAATGTGAAGATGGTATACTTAAGTAGTCTTGAAGAATGAGTAAAGTTTATAGGCATGAAGGGAAAATATAGACAAAGAGAACAGCACACACCAAAGCATGGAGAAATGAAAGGGTGTACGGCTCCAGAGAGCAGGATGGGAAGGAAGATGGGTCCCTCCTTCCAGGATACCACTCCTCCAGCACCAATCTCTCCACACATAGCTACAGATGCTGGCCCCAGGACTCACCATTCTGACAGGCAATCTGACCAAGTCAGCTCGGCACCGGATCTTGAGCGGAAGGACCCGAGGGCTCTGTGGCAAGACAGGTCCCTCCACCAGGACCACCTCATCATCCATGTTCTGGATGGCTGAACCCTGGTCCGGCTTGGGGCTCAGGCAGGATCGGAGATCTTGGAGGCGCTTGTTGACCTCCCTGGGCATAGACAGGACATGGGGACACTGGGTCAGTTGAGGCTGACCACCCCCTCAAACTGACTTTCGCCACCCAGCCGAGCCCCCCAACCCTAGCACCTTAACTTCTGGAGTGCCTCAGTATGCTTTTTGCTTTTGTTTCTTGATGATGTTTGAGGCAAAGGAAAGATGTCCTCATCACTATAGAAAGAAAGGTACAAGATGGATGCAAAAGAGACTCCAGCCACACATTTCTCTTCATGGGCTGTGGATTCCCTGGAACCAGAGAAGGAGCTGAAGAATCAAGAAGTACCTTCTGGTAACATCCACTCAACTGGGAGACACGGCTAGATAAAGGGCATTGTTTTCATATAAATTTACATGACCCAAATGTGAGCAATAAAAATGTTTCTATTTACGATTAAGTCACTTTCCACGTAAACATCAAATACTATCCAACAGACATCAGGCACTTACTATTCAGCTATTCAACAATCCTCTGACTCAAGTACCATGATTAGCCCCATTTTACAGATGAGGAAAGAGAAACAAAGGACAGGGACAGCTGACAGAATGTGAGCCACACCCTGCATTCCCACCCAAGGATAGTCTAAAAGGTCCCGTGTCAGCCACCAGGGAAAGCCACCTCTATTTCCACCTGAGCCTCAATACACCTTCCATCCCTCTCCTCACCCTTTCAGGAGCCAACCAAAAGTCGTGCCTTCCTCGGCCTACCTCTCCAACTCCCTTCTTGTCCCCAGGGCCTAAGTGCCCCAGCCTCACTCACAGAAACTCTTCCTTTTTCTTCTCTTCTTTCTCGGCCCTATTCCTCAGCTTCTTCTTCCAGGGAGAACCTCGAAATGGGGGGTCGTCAGAGGGAAGACTGCTAGAATTTATCACATCTGTCTCTGGGGCAGAGGAGAAAGAGAAAAGGGTTAGCTAGAGGTGGCAGAGGGAGGCCAAGAACAAACAAATCCAAGGTTTTCAGAAGGACCAGAGGTGTGGTAGCACATAGGGTCTCAGAGGCTGAGTCAGAGCTCAGGAGCTCCAGGCCAGCCTGGGCCACAGAGATCCTGGAGTTTTTGTTGTTTTTATTTTCATCCCATAAACAGGGGGGCAAGAGTCGGGGGTATGTATCTCAGTGGTACACAAGAGCAGGCCCTAGGTTCAATCCCCAGTACCACCAAAAAAAAAAAAAAAAAGATGTACTAAAAGAAAAAACTAAAAGGCACACAGGACCACTTGACACAGAGTACGTTTTCTATGTGTACACATGTGTACATGCATGTTTGAGTATATACATACATGTGTAGGCCAGAGGTCAACCTCAAGTGTCATTCCTCAAGTACTATCCACCCTGTTTTATGAGATATGGTCTCTTGTTAGCCTGGGACTAGCTTATTAGATGAGGCTGGCAGGCCCCAGGGATCTTCCTGTCTCTACCTCTCCAATGCTGGGGTTACAAGGACATGATAGCATGGAGAAATTAACTCAGGTCCTCAGGCTTGCACAGTAAGCATTTTACCAACTGAGCCATCTCCCCAGCTCCCACACAGTACTTTTCAATTCTAGAAAAGTACTCAAGAGGTATGATTATTGCTATTTTTTTATTATTCTTATTTTTTTTAACTTTATTTATTTTGAATGTTATGCCTGCAAGTATATTAAGTGCACCTGTATCCTGCAGTGCCCTTGGAGGTCAGAAGAGGGCATCAGGTCCCTCCCAGAACTGGAGTTTCAGGCAGTTGTTAGCTACCATGTGGGTACTGGGAATTGAACCCGGGTCCTCTGCAAGAGTAGCCAGTGTTCTTAACTGCTGAGCCATCTCTCCAGCCCCGTCAATATTACTGTGTGTCTGTGTGAGGGTGGGGGCATGTGGAGGCCAAATGACAACTTTCTGGAGTGGATTCTCTCCTTCCACCTTGTTTTTGAGACAGGCCCTCCCATGTTGTTTCTGGCACTATGTGAGTGAGCTTCCAGGAGATTCTCTTGGCTCTGCCTCCCATCCCCTGGTAGGAATTCTAGGATTACAGAAGTAAGCCACCTCTGACTTTTTATGTGGGTTCAGGGATTGAACTCAGGTTGTCAGCTTCCAGGGCAAGTGTTTTTACCTACTGAGCCATTTCTCAGACCTAATTCTACACTTTTCAAAACCTCGGGGGGGGGGGGGGGGCTCAGTAGTTAAGAGCATTGGTTGCTATGGCAGTTGGATTCCCAGAGCCCACATAGCAGCTAACAACTACCATGTAACTCCAGCTCCAGGAGATCTGACATCCCCTTCTGTCTTCTGCAGGGATTAGATGCAAACAGTGCACTTACATACATACATACATACATAGCACTTGTATACATAAAATACAAATAAATGAAAAAAGGAACTGGAGGGATGGTTCAGCAGTTAAGAGCACCAGCTGCTTTTGCAGAAGCTCTGGGTTTGATTCCCATCACACACATGGTCGCTAACAACCGTCCGTAATTCCAATTCCAGGGGATCCAACACCCTTTTGACCTCCACAGACACTGAACACCTACCTGCTTGCAGGCAATACATTCATACACATAAAATTAAAAAATAGGGGCTGGAGAGATGGTTCAGCAGTTAAGAGCATTGACTGCTCTTGCAGAGGACCCGGGTTCGATTCCCAGCACCCACATGGCGGCTACAAACCATCCTTAACTCTAGATCCAGGGGAATATGAAGCCCTCTTCTGACCTCTGCAACATTGCATGACATGGGTGCGCTCACATACATGGCAGGCAGTACACTCATACACATAAAAATAAAAATAATAACTTTTTAAAAATGTATAGCTTGTGGACTGGAGAGATGACTCAGCAGTTAAGAACACTGGCTGCTCTTGCAAAGGACCCAGGTTCAGTTCCCAGCACTTGGATGGCAGCCAAC